TAATGAGGTTGTCATCATCCATGTGTGTGGAGAGAGAAGGTCCCCTTGGTCCTCCCACAGTGAGTCAAAGGAAACTTAGTCTCCCACTCCATTCCCCCAAACACAACGGTGCCTGAGAGCCTGGCAAAGCAAAGTCTTTGATTTCTTTGCCTTGTTTGGACTTGGGAGGGGCTTGGAGAAATGTGTTGTTCAGTCTAAAATAATAACGAGGCTCTGCTGAGAGGCTCTGGGCAAGTGCAGCCCTGGCTGAATCATCATCCTGGTGCTTGTGTTTCTTAAAAATAACCCCCTGGCTATGTTCGAATTATAAATTGGGGAGCTCTAGGGAGAGGCCTCTGCACACACAATGGCTTATCAGCCCTGCCCCTGAGAGGAGCTGGTGACCGAATACAGTCTTTGGCTGGGCCCCATGGGCAGGTGGTATGCTAAGATAACCCACTGCTGCCCTTTGCCAGGCCAGGAAACTGCAGCCATTGCTACTGTGAAAGAAAAGAACTTCAACTTCCAGGCAGTTCCCCAGGAATCTCAGCTTTTAGCCTTTTTCTTCCCCTGGGTTCTGGGTACCTGGGGTGGGGACAGGGAAGGTGGGGATACTGAGGAAGGAAACAGCCTAGTCTCTTGTCTTTGGGAGAACACAAGCTATCTGTCCTTATGGAACCACATTCAGCTTACTAAGTAGGTAGCTTCTCTATGGGTTTCAGGGGTAAAACCTCTCCTGCACAGAAACCAACCAACGCTTTCTACTTGTTAATTCTTAAAATGTTGTTGCAGTAACTTGAGTTCCTGGCTTAGGACTTTGTTAAAATAAAATATTCCCTGATCTAAGTTCTGTCTTCCATCTACACATTAGTGAGAACTCAACCACAGTTTATTGAGGTGCGTGTTCGATGGTGGGATTCCTAGATGAATTTACTTATCCCTGCTCTCAAATTGTTCAGTTGTAAGGCAGGTGCAGGGATGTCAGTTGGCAAGTATTCTCAAACAGGTGCAAGTAGGAAACAGAGCAAGTGGTGGACTGTGACAATTGGAAGTCAGGAAATAGCATGAAGTAAGTGACTTTTGGATTGGACCTTGAAGGATGACAAGACATGGGGAAGGGCTTTCCAGACAGAGGATGACCGAGTGTGAAGGTTATGACGAGATTAATTAATCCATGTAAACCTTTCAGAACAACATCTGGCACAATGTCTGTGCCTAATAAATAAAAGCTATTCATCATGGCAGTTTCTTGGAAGAGACTGGCTCCTGGAAGGCACAGAGGGAACTGGTGAAAGTGCTAAGGAAGGGTCTAAAAAAAGGAGGCCAAAGACTCGCAAATTAAATTTCCTCTCTTTTCAGATGTGCCAATAGCAGAGCACAGTGAAGTCTGAGGAACACACGGACTATAAAAAGTGTGATGACAATTCTGTTTCTCAGCTGAGGGGCTCCAATATGAGGAAGACAGGCAAATGGCCAAAAAAGTGTCTTCTCAGAGGAAATGGCCTATGTCGTTAGCCACAGTGATCCCAGTGAGGCCACATTGCAGGGCCAATGGGCAAGCTTTGTTTTCTCCTTGACCCTACCCTGTAGACCATCCTGGCCACAGGCTTCCCAGGAGGCACTGTTAGGCACAGGACTGAGGAAAAAAATAGGCCAGTGCAGATGGATTCCAGCACCTCAGATACAATACTAAGTCTTACTGGCAGTACTTTCATATAGCTTCAGAAGGAGGGAATGTGTGACTTGGTTTCAAGTAAGATGCCAGGTCAGGAAGAAAGCATGTACCTGAAAGGTGTTGGGGCGGGGGCTGTAGTCAGTGGTAGAGTGTATGGCTAGCAAGCTCCAGGCCCTGGGTTCAAGCTCCAGTACACACACACACACACACACACACACACACACACGCACACATACCCGTACACATGTGTGTGCACACATGTGTTCAGAAATTGTGATAAGCCAACTGGTAAATCCTGCAAGGATCATGGAGCAAGGGATTCACTTGCTAAGCATAGGAATTGCTTAATTTTCAGGGACAATATGAGATCAAAGGAGCCACCATGACTTATGTCCTACATAGTTTACAGTTACAGGGAAGAAGACTGATTCTTACTAGAAGTGAACATGACACCGCAGTAGCGTATGCCTGTAATCCCAGCACTTGGGAGGTAGAAGCAGAAGGATTGTGAGTCTCCAAAAACAAAGTGAGCGTGACTCCTGGGGATGTGACCATTTCTCCCAACTGTAATTAGTACTTGTTAGGAACATGTTCTTACTCTACATATTAACCTCCCTTAGGCGCTTGACACCCACTGTTACTAGCATCCAACATGAATTAGCCTTGTATTAATTAATGTAGGCAACCAGAATCAATTAGGGCCAGGCTTGGCTGTTGTTAAGTGGAAGCTGGTAGCTTAAACATGGTTCACTATATATAAATGCAGCTCCCCAGTGGTGGTAATGGGCTTCTCCCCCCTCCACTGTCTCCAGTGACTACCTCCAGAGAGAGTTCCATCATCACTTTCACATTCCGCTCGGCAGGAAGAGACAGAGAAAGAAAAAGATGAAGGACCGTGTGCCAGCTACCTTTTGAAGGTGTCCTAGTAATTGACCTGCCACTCCACACTTCCACTTAAATCTCATTGGCTACAAGTTAGCCCAAGACCAAGCCTGGCTGCAGAAAGGCTGGGAAACACAGTTTATGTCCTAGGTAGCTGTGTGCTCAGCTAAAAATCAGGGTGGGGTCACTAAAGAAGAATGAGGGAATGGATATTGCAGGTTATACACGGATCATTAAAAACATCAGCTAAAAAGTTATCTAACACAAGTGTAGTTTATATTTGGATGAGGATATGTGGTTTCATAGTTAACAGTATCAGAAAGGATAGTATAGAAGTCATATTTTAATTGCTGTAGGAAATGATCTGCATGGAAGTATTTTTGGGTTTATCCCTTGGCAAGTGAATTTTTTATCACTTCATTTTCTAAAAGTGGAGCACACTGGGGAGGTGAGAAGTCGACTTACCTTCCTAATAGCATGTGCCTTACACTGATGCTAATATATGGGGAGTCTGCTTTAAGAGAGAAAGTCTCAAATGAGCTGTTTATAAAGATGATATCACCTCAGGCCAGGAGACAAAAGAGAGACTTCATTTTAGGTTTTCTGACAAAATAAACAAGATATATGTGGGCTCTTTAAAGTTGGCTGGTCTGTAATTCTCACCACATTAGTGGGTTGAGGGCTAGGGCAGAAATATATCTGAGTCTTTAAGCAACATTGTGTTCTCTGTTAATCCAAGAAGGGTCCTCATACAGCCCCTGGGAGCCACTCTTCCAAGCCTGTCGGCATGGCCCTGTTTAAAGGGAGTAGCTAATCTCCAGGGCATGACTTCGACTGGAAGACCCTATCATCCTGAAGGCTGGAGTCGTTTGAGCTCTTGAGTACCATGACCAAGAGTCTGTACACAAATATTGGGGTTTCTTTTTCTTTTTTTTAGCTTCTATTGCAATTTTATTTATTTTTTAAAAACATTTTTATTAGCATATATTATTTGTACAGGGGGTATCACTGTGACATTTCCATATATTCTTACAATGTACCTTGGTTAGGTTCAACCTCAACAGTGTTGGGATTTCTACCAGCAGTCAGGTCTATTTATTAGCATTGTCGGTGTGTCACATATGAACCAAGAGAAGAGACCTAAAGAAATGAGGCATGGGTCCTGACCAATAAAACTGGGCCGATGTTCAAGCTGAGAAAGAATGCCCCATGCAACACAAAGACGATTAAGGTTGCAAGTTGTTTTAGTGGGGCCGAGTAACAAATCAGGCAAGGTTTCTTGGCCGCTTTGAAGTCAAGTTTCAGAGGGAATGATCACAGACTTTTGATGGTCAAGATCCCAACCCAGGGAAAGACAGCAAAAGAAATAGAAGAGGGGCGAGATTTGTTGACAGAGACTAATGCATTGACTGAGCTGAGCTGAGCTGATAGAGGGAGGCTAGCTGCTCATTTCCAGTTGAATGAGTTGAACTACTTCGATGCCAAGGAAACCATCTGCAGTTAGGAAATCTTTCAAAGAAAAAACTTTTAACAGCTACGTTTTCAATTTTTTTAAACATTTACAAACAAGGTTCATGTGCAATCAAAAAATGTCATTGATTTTCTTGTAAAAATAATTAAGTGTGAAACTTCTGGATTAGAACTCACTACACATATTGAACATCCTAAACTTGGTTTACAATCTTGGTTATGACTTACTCAAGGTAACAAGAGGCTCAATAGAAAATGGAAAAACTATTAGGCATAATGTCACATTGGAAAGTCATTTAGAAAGTCTATTTCATGAAGACAGATGTGTGCTACTAAACTATTTTCCTCCAGCTTCGAGTGCTCTTATATTATTTCTTATGTCGGCAAGTACTTTAGAAAATGTTCTAGGGAAGAGAGGTGCTTTGCCACTGAACGATTTTCCACATGACATGCTTTTTCGGTTGAATTTCGAGGTTCACCTTGATTTTATACATTCAAGCCCAGAATATTAACCGTCTATTAAGAGTAGCTGAGAACCTCTCCCAGAACCTGTTACTTGAGTCACCCTGTAACTCTTGGACTTCCCTGGGGCACAACTTCTGGGAGAAGCTGACTGAAAGCTGTAGTCTTGCAGTATATGTAACCTGTTGGACTCTTGCAAGATACTGGGTTTCAAGTTATTAAGTTGAAGCTTAAAGATGACGAAGCTCATTCAACACCCTTTTATTTTTTTTAATCTCTACATTGAAAGCCTGTTATGTTCCTTAAAACCTACAGAGGCAGACTTAAGAACAAGTAGAGTTGGGAGACAACAGTGGCAGAGAGAGAGAGAGAGAGAGAGAGAGAGGGAGAGAGACAGAGAGAGACAGAGTGTGTGTGTGTATATAGGGAGAGAGAAAAGTATCAGAAGGGTAGCAAAACTGAGTGAAATTCTTTGGAAAAGCTCATTATCTCTCTTCCATGACCTCTCCCCAACTTTCTTTTTTACCCTTAGGCCTGCTCTGCCTGAAAAGAAGGTGGCTGACCTCAGCACTCTGAATGAAGTTGGCTATCAAATCCGAATCTAGCCAGGCCATACTGGCCAGCAAGAGGGTTTCCGTGGTGCTTCTTTTTGAACTTTACCCAGCATCTTCAGGAGGAACTGCAACTATTTATTACAAGCTTGTGAAGTTTATTTTTAAGGCTTCACCTGGAAATAGAATCTGAGTTGGTGGGAACAATTAGCTTTATAAACTTTCTAAGGGGCAACCGTGAAAAGGCTAGAGTAAAAACCCCGCTGGGGTTGGACTGTCTCCCTCACTCACGATCTCAAGGATAACTAACATTAACTGCAGTTTTCTATTTTCCCATTTACCCACTTTCTCTGACTTGCTTTGGACATTATGCCTCACCAGTAGTAAATGTTCATGAAGTTCTCCCCCACTTCTGGTATAGTAAGGTAACTCAATCAGCATTACCGTCTTTTTCAGCAATAACAGAAGCAAAGATGGGTGAGTTTTTTTAAGCAGTTAATATTACCTCAGCATTTTTACATCAGATATGCAAACTTGATGGCATTTTGGTTTTTTATATTCTATTTGTATTGTTTCCCCAGTTTTTCCAATGGGGATCTCCACAGCCTGGAGTTTTTTTCCTGGTGCACATGTGATGAGATTTAAGGTATTATATGCAAATGTTTTACTAAAAAAAAAAAAGCACTGAAATTCTTCTGGCAATATGGGAAACCATTTCTAGGATACTGGAGTTAATCTTTCATAAAGCATTCACTGACAGCAGGCAGTTTTTTTCTTTCAAAACAAGCACTTTCAGAAGGTAGTCTATGTTCTGTCACTAACATTTAAACTTTGCAAAGTACACAAAAAGCACAAGAGGTCATGCACTTGTTACACAAAATTACCAGTTACTGAGATCACCCCTGACAGTCACACACTTAGAAAGGCAGACACTAGGAATGAGTCAGCGGTTCTGAGAAGCAGATAACCTTTCTGGTTCACATTTCCTCTGATTTGTAAACTGAACTCTGAGTCAGGCTTCGATTCTGAAGAACTTGGCTGCTGTTAAAGCTGTATTCTGATGTCTTATATTAAGGCCAAATGTGATACGATGTGATTATTTCCAGCACCTTGCTTTTAGGCACCATTGATGGCATTTAGGAAGTACTGGAAAATACAATGGGCTATTAAGAGCAAGACTGTTTTCTTAAATGAAAGTCTTCCAGTACAGTTATACCCTATAGTGTGATTCAGTCCATGAACCTGACCTGCATTTGGTAGTTACAGTGTAACTCCTGGTTGCAGACCACACAGGTAACTCTAAAGGAGTGCACAGTCTTTATGTTACGAACACCTGGTAGAGCTTCTATTTAATTTGTTTTATCTTTGCAACCACACCAACTCAGAAGATCAAAGGACATATTTAAGGAAAGTCTGCTGGTCCACAAAAGTGCTTCTCCTCTGGCTTTAACTTAAAATGGTTATAGGAAGGTGTTTTAAAAAAGAAAGAAAAAGAAAAGTAACAATCTGCTCATTGAAGAGTCTTTATCAAGGTGAAAAGTGGGGCGGTAACAAAGGAAGCAAAAGGTGCTCACTTTACCCTAAAAATCAGTGTTATTAATGAAAACATTGTTTTCTTGAAAGAGGAAATCCAACATCCTTTAGTGAACAGGACCAAGTATCCATCTTACAGCGTAAGTTTCAAAATTCTAAAATTAATCACTTTCTTCAAGAACAGTATTATTATCAGTTAAGAGTTAAAGTGAGTAATTGGGACTGGGGGTGGAGCTCAGTGGCAGAGTGCATGCTTAGTATGTGTGAGGCCCCAAGTTTGATGCCCAGCACCAAAAGAAAGCATTTATCTTTGTACATCTTCACATAGTAAACCCATTTGCAGCCTCATGGCCACACGTCTTTAGATGTTCAGAGTAGCAAGTGAATCATTTTCATCTGGAAACAATACTGACTTAGCCGTTTATCTTCTGTTTATTCATCTAAAACTTTATTATACCCAGTAAGTAAACTAATTAAAATGCCTAGGATCTCATTTGTCAAGTATTACTTGAGGAATATCCCATCTAAAACACAAAATGTCATGTAGCTACGTAGCCTCTTGTTTCCCTCAAGAAAAGGGGAAAGAATAGGAGTGCAAAATGGTCCCTATTATGCTGACATATAACCTTGAAACTGCCAACTGGTCTGATGATTCAATTAGTAATCTAATTTCTCCCACACTCACTTTTTAGTACTTGGATTCATTTTCCAAAGCAAGAGTTAGTCACAGAAACATTGAAAATGTTCATGGTCATTCTACTTTATTGCCTATAGGACAATAATTAATTTCTAAAAGACACAGGAAAGTCACCAAACTCTTAAATTCTAATGCAACAATTAAAATAATAATATAGCAAAAATAGACAAAAAAACCCAACATGTTTTATCTCCCAAACTGATTTTAAGACTGGCTATAATTTAAATGACTAAGACATAAAACTATGAAGAGATTTGGAATCCAGTTTTTAAAAAGTTATGCAAGATAAAGTTTATGTGTAAGCTACCATGGCAATATATGCAAAGTTTAAATGGATAACAGAAATTTTTTTATTTAAAACTGTATGTTGTGCTGTTTTGAGTGTACTTTATTTCAGACAGTGGTATCTAGTGATATTTAGCATTTTCTATACACACTGAAATCATAAGCATTTCACTTTTTCTAAGTCAGTTATTTCATAAGGATTTTATTAACAGATATTGGTAAACAGAACTTTGGGAATCTTAATTCAGTATTCTTACTATACCCGAGCCTTTTGTAAGCTATAGTTTTATGTACAACCTTGTACAGTTTTTTTGAATTACAGTTCAGAATCTTGTTTATTCTCTTGAACTTTGTTCTGGCTGATACATTTTTTTTAAAATCTTTCAGAAAAACTGTGATCGTTTTAGTGGGTATTTTTCTAAGTAAATTAAAACTTGTATAATGGTATTTTAGAGAATGCCAGATAAGTGCATGTTACAATTATATGTTTTTCTCGTCACTTGTATGTTTATACACAGCATGGGAATTTAATAAAACCATCCTGGAAACTTAAGGTTGTTTTTCTTCTAAAATTGCAAGATGATATGATTTTCTTTCTTGTTCTAGTGACCTAGTTTATCATTCTCTCACCTTTCACAATTTTCAAACTCTGTGCTAAATATTACTCTATTTTGGCATATCTCAAATTATATATTTTAGCTTTACCCTAACTAATAAAGACTGAAAAAGGAAATGAATAGTACATCTGCCACAAAACCTTCAGGCACAGATGTATGAGTATGATAATTTATTACATAATTTACAGGTACAAAGTGCGAATGATTTGATGCCTGTTTCTTCAATCCCTTGAACTCTGGTTTCTAACTTTTTTTTTTTTTAAAGGAAGCCAAAGGATTAAAAGCAGTAAGCTAATTCCAAATAAAGACAAGATTTCAAATACTCACATTATCTTGATATCAAAAGGTGTAGTAAAACCAGAATCATTTTACTTCACAATTTCCCTTTGCATTTAAAACTTGGATATTATAACCCTTAAGACTGTGATAGATTTGTTTTTTGCAATCAACCATATTTAATTGTTTTGGCAGGTAAATACAAGGCTCCAGCAAAGTTACCAACTCTTCTGGTCAAAAAAAGTAAAGTAGATAATTATTTTTAGTGGAGCTTTAAAAACTTGCAAGAAGGTTACATGTACCCATTGGCTTCAGGTCCATGAAATAATACTTTGATAAGCTAATATAGGAAGCAGTTTTATGGATTAACTATCAAAGTGAAGTACACAAAATGAGCCTAAATTCACAATATATTAATTAGATGTTAAGAAAATTAAATTTTCACACAGGTTTTTCAGGAATGTTAGTTTGTTAACAATGACCTAATGATAATAAAGTCATTTGTTAATAAATTCACTTGTCACAAAGCAGTAATTAAAGAATCATTTTTCTTTCTCTAATACTAAATACTAAAAAGGGATTACTATGTATCATTATAATTTGATGGTGATTATATCTGCTAGTAAAGACACATAATATTCCACAAATTACTACTGAGAGATATGAAAAATTATGGAACTATAGTTAATACTATAAAAAACAAAGTGAGAAACATTTAAAAGCATTTGCTTATAACAATTTTTACTAGACATATCTTTATAACCCATATACCTTCTTTGAGGCTTTTATCCACTTTATTTTATTTAAAAATAATTGTAGTAAATTATTTAGTACAAAAATTTAAAGTTCAAGACTTACTGTTTTCCAATTTAAAACATTATTAATAAAACTCCGTTAAAAAGTTGTAATTCAGTGCAAAATGACTACTTAGTAAAAATGCCTACAATTCCTTGATCTAAAAACCAGGAAACTTCCACTTTTTATGTTTCAATAATTTTTGACACTTGTACAGAGTCAACTACAGGATTTATTAGACCTGCTCATAACACTTCATAGAAAGTATAAGCACCATCTTGTGCTGGTGCATAAGTGTAAAACATTTGAGAAACAAAACAATTAAAACCAACCCTTAAAATGACTGCTAAAAGAGTATTTTGACTCCAAGTTGGTATCTTCCTACTAGAATTTTACAACATCCTCATATTTCCGAAGCATAACAAAAGTAGTAGTATAGCTGCCATTTTGTTCCAAAGATGATTTTCTTAATAAAATAAATTTCTACAGAATTGGTTCAGTAAAATAAAGTGTCTTCCCTAACCCAGAATCTTTTCTTGCAACTGAAGAGAAAAGGAAAAAAAAATGCTTGGGAAACAAAGGCTTAACTCCAGAGTCTCTGCTTTTCTTGAGCCCACCACTGTGTATTACAGGTTGCAAAGAGTGGGTTTATGGAAAGACCTTGTCCTCTTATCAGTTATGGTGACCTACATTTACCCAACAACCTAGAGGCATATAATATGGTTCAGAATGGTATAGGATAATGTATTTTGTATAATTAAAAAGCATCAAGCCCCTTTAGGTTGGACACTTCTGACTCAGTGAATTTGAAATGACTCATCAGGACTCAACATAGGGTCCTCCCAATGAAATAAGGCCTTCTGAAAAGGAAACAACTTGTAAAATTTGCAAGGTATTCTGGAACCACAGGAAAGCTTGCCAAAAACATGAAGTGAACTTATTTACTTAGAGGATTAAAGAAGGTACACTGTATTTAAAAACCGGTGTCAATTTTACTGGGATTTAGAATAAAAATATATCTCTTCTATAATAAAGAGTATTTAGTCCTCAACTGTCAGGAAAATATTTTTCATCACTGAAAAAACAAAACTGTTGTAAACTTGTTTCTTCTGATACGTTTCAAGCATTTAACATCTTCAGAAACCCCACAGCACAAAAAAAACATGCAAACACTTAAGAACAATTTTACATTCTTTGAAAGAAATTATATACATAATTGAGGAAGAGTCAGAGTCAGAGCTGAAGTCTAAACTGAGCCAGTAAGGGCAGATGATCCGAGGAGTTATTCTCATTGGGAAGCCCATTAACAGTCCACAAGTCTTGTTCTGTAAGCAGTGACAGTCTAGCTAGAAGCTTCAAGCCACCAGCCAAAGCAACTTCAGCTCCTACATTAAGAAGCACATATTTAGTGAAACTCTGTCAACAGGTTATTGTAAATTAATCATACAAGTCTCTTTCCTAAAAAAAAAAAAAAAAAAAAAAAAAAAAGATTAAAAGAACTTGACACCCCTCCAGAAGACTAATATGGAAGTTTTTACAATTAAAAGTTTTATTGAATTATCAAATGCGGTGGTTTCCGGTGTTATTCCTATGTCAGATATGTTTTCTATTTCAACTGCAAATAATCTTTGGAAGAAAATACTAATGTGATACATTAAAGTGTTATGAGTAATTTGATATTGATAACTACCTAAGAAGTCCAACAAGCATTCTGTAACTTTATAAAACCAAACAGATCCAACCACAGCAATGTAGGATTCATGAGGTGACAGGAGAATTAGTATAATTTAGTCCCAAAGAATCATTCCCATGTAAGTACAGTACAAGGTAACTTGCTCTCAATGTTAAGACAGTTGAGATGCTGATCTCCTGCCACCTAGTGAAATTTTGTAGTCAGGGCATCTAGAACCTTACTGCAAATTCATAGACAGCAAGCAGCAAGCACATTTTGTAAAGCTGATTTAGGTGAAGGAGTATGACATCTCCTGAGTATTACTAATAAGGTAATTCCCAGGAGGGGAGAGGAAAAGAAGCACACAAAATTGGAAGAGGAAAAAAAAAAAAATCAGAAGAGAGAAATCACCACCCATATGTAGGATTTCCAAACGTTTTCTGAATGTTATTTTAAAATTTCTAGTTAAATTTTCTTCTTCACTTTAAATTCTTTGGTTTGTGTATACATCCTGATTTCCTTTGAGTAATACAAGGAAAAGTGTTATCGCCTTTGCTTTTTGAAAATACACTGTCATATTATAGACTTTTCTTCCTCAGATACAGTATTCCAGGGCCAACACAACAAAACTATCTGTTGTTGGTGGCGTAAGCATGGTCCTACAATGAAGGCAATATGCCTTAGTCAAAACTTGAACAAAAAAACCATATGATGATCGCTGAGTGCAGTGGCTCATGCCTGCAATCCTAGCTATTTGGGAAGCTGAGATTGGGAGTATTGAGGTTTGAGGCCAGCATTGGCAAATATTTCATGAGATCCCATCTCCAAAATAACCAGAGCAAAATGGACTGGAGGTGTGGCTAAAGTGGTAGAGCACCTGCTTTGCAAGTGTGAAGCCCTGAATGCAATGCCTCAGTCCTACTGAAAAACAAAAACAAAACTGTATGATAACCATAATATACTCAATTTCTAGCACAGGAAAAACTGTAAATTTATAACAAGTAAATAGGGCAATATAAATGACCTATAACTCAGGAGCTGACTGGAACCCGATGGTAGAACTGAGGATATAAATTTTAGAATAATTTGCTTTGGGTGTTTTACTGTTTCCCTCAATATATGCAGGCTGTTAACTGATTTATTCAACTACACTACTAATGTATTTAAAAATATTTTTAACTTCTAAATCTAGAACTTCATCTAAATGTTTAGATAACTTTCTCAACTTCAGTCTTGGTTTTGCTGCTATGTTCTCCCGCAGAATGAAGATTACATGTAGTGTTTACCTGGATGCCCAGCAACATCTTCCTTTTCTGCAGAGTAGAAAATATAATCCACAGTTATGGCACTTCGAGAATGACACGTGGTCACTTCTGGAATTCCAGTGTCAGGAAAATAATGTGAATAAACAGATGACAAGCTGAAATGATGCTGCAAATTTGAAGATAATCTAAATTGAAAAAAGAAAGTATTTAGCATCCATCAAGTTTTTCATGATTTCTGTAATTCATCCTATTTAAAGTACTTTTTTTCCTGCAGCAGTCTCTAAATCCTCACAATAACCCAAATTATAGGTAAGGAAACTGAACATCAGGGTTTTATGTTTCTTGTACCAAAAAACCACAGTTAAAACCCAGCAGACTCAGGACTGGATTTTGTGTCTATCTGACTTAACAGCCAACACTAGCTGGGTGCTGGTGGCTCATGCCTATAATCCTAGCTACTCAGGAAGCAGAGGTTAAGAGGATCAAGGTTTGATGCCAACACAAGACCCTATCTCAAAAATACCCAACCCAAAAAGAGCCAGCAGAGCAATTCAAGTGGTAGAGCACCTAGCCAGCAACTGTGAGGTCCTGAGTTCAAACCCCAGTAACATCAAAAACAAAAAAAAAAGAAAAGAGCCAGCATTCTTTACCAACAGGGACTATCATCATCTTCGATCCATGTGTTTTTTTGAGAAATAATTTTTTTACTCCACTAAAGTCAGGAAATGTCTACTGTTGTTGATTCAGAACTCACTTTTCAGCCGTCACTTGGACCTCTGTTTTCTCCAGCTGTACTTGTGTCTTATCATTGTCTGTAAGAACAGAGAAAAAGGTATTAATCCTACTGGAATACTGGTTTGTTTTAGTTTGCCTTAGTATAGTCTTCTTACTTTAGGAAATACTTAAGATATATCTAGTTTAGGCAGATGCCTAGTTAAGTGTTTTTATCCTAGGGTCTATGTTTTGATGATCTCCAGAATCAAGAAAAGTAAAATACAAACACTTCAAAAGCAACATGCAAGTAATTCATGCATAGATAATTGTGAAAGCTCAACTTTAAAAAAGTAAATTTGGAGCACTTAAAAAAACAAAGAGGTCCCAGTACTCAGGAGGCTGAGGCTGGAAGATCACAAGTTCAAGGCAAACTTGGGCTATGTAAAGAGGCTCTATCTCAAAAAAAAAAAAAAAAAAAAAAAAAAGGATGAGCAAATAACTACATATTTATATATGTATATATATGTAAAAATATCCATCTCTTGAGATGTTATCTCTTTGAAAATTTAGTTTTATGTCTTCAAAGATAACACTGATAGTAGACCACCAAATGTACTCCAAACACTTACCTGTCTTTTCTACTCTTGGTACCTGCTGTACCTCATACACACAGTTCTGTGAGATACCTAGGTTTGGGGGCCAAATTGGAATAGATAAAATTCTTTGTCCCCGTGAAGACTGTTCCTGGCCAGATACCTAAACAAAATTTCAACAGGTATCTTAAGTGAATAGATTTTAAATTATGTATTGAAAATTTTACGCCTTAATAAAAGGTACACCAAAAATGGTAAATATGATCCTTTACTCATTGTATTATTTTGTGCTTATTAAGTCATGTTCAAATATAGTTCAGAAAGGGCTTATTGTTTACATGAAAATGACAGTCTTTTCTGATATTTTTCTCTAATTTGAACATTCAAGTGATCTGTAACTTCGGACTAATACTGTCCCTCCTCTTTTGTTAGCTGCAATATGGTTCCTACTATCAAATACTAAAAGAGATCAAATCTTATAAAAGCAAAATTATCATCCAAAACTCCAGTGGTAGAGAGTTTAATTTGGTTAAATATGCTAAAGATTAAATGATCTAAAATAAGTAGAGGAAAGCACAATAAAAATAATAATGTGGGGTAAGTTATACTAAGCTAAAGAATTAAAATATCATTATGTAAAGGAAAGTTCACATAATAAATATTAAATTACTGTTTTGCCAATTGTATTGCCCATATCCAGCATTCAAAATTCTACCCTGTGAATACTTCCTTATTTGTGAGATATCCAGATCTGTCAATGCTTTTTTCTTTTTGTCTTTTCCTGACTTCTAACACCTCCACATAGACTATTTCCACAGATTGATAGATGAAAAAGATGGAATTAACCTCAGTGAATAAAAGTTACTTATTCCTACTTGTAGAAAATCATCACAGACTGGTAAAGTAAGTACTGGATAATCCAAGCTTTTCAAACAGCCACATTCTCACACTATGATAACAAAGCAACTAAGTCCACCTCCTAACAATGACGAAGCAAGACTTACCTTTCCGATGGCAAGTCCTTCATAATTCAATTTTCCTTCCTTTATGAAACTATAAAGTGGAGAACCAGGAACAGAATTAAAGTCACCACACAGAACAATAGGACAGAAGCTGCCATCTTTCCGATGGGCAACACTAGAAATCTCTGCCAGCAGCATTGCCAATTGGGTGAGCTTAATATCTCCTCGCCTTGGATTATACAACAGATGTGTATTAGCTACACAGACTGCAGGAGGTACAGCACATGGAATTTTGGGCTGCAAGAGTAAAACTAATCCAATGTTGTCTCTGTCCAACAGAGGAATATCAGGGCGGTAGAATTCCACTGGGTTCACTGACAAGAGTGAAAATTTGGAATGTTTGAAGCAAATGGCACAGCCATCAGGTTTCCTTCCTGTCCGCATTTTATATTCACAGTGATAACCTATAAGAAAGAAATGAATTTTAAACCAGGGACTGTTTACATTACATATGTGCCAAAATACAGCTCCCTTAGTATTTTTGAACAATGTTTTACAAAGTGTATTCTGCAGAACATTAGTAATAGAAATATTAATGAGGGTTGGAATCAAAGAACTTGGGACGAGGGCTGGGAATGTAGCTCAGTAGTAGTTTCCCTAGTATGCACAAGGCCCTGGGTTCAATCCCCAGCACTGACAAAAAACAACAAAACAAAAATAAAAAAACTACTATAATTCCTTCTTTCCCTTCCTTTTTCCCTCCTTCTTTTCTTCCTCTTCCTCCCTCCTTCTTTTTAACTCCTTTCTCCCTCTGTTTTTGAGACACAGACTTCCTATGTAGCCCAAGCTGGCATCAAGTTCATGATCTTCCTGCCTCTACTTCCTAAGTTCTGTGATTATGAGTCTCTACCACCATACCAGGTGCCCTAATATATCCATTTCTAAGCTGGACAAGATGGCACATACCTATAATCCCAGACTTGGGAAGCAGAGGCAGAAAGATCAAGAGTTTTAGGATAGCCTGTGCCAAGTAGCAAAACAAAACAAAACAAAAAGCTAATAGGCCTAATAGGTCTCTCCATTGACAGACTTAAGTCCTTCATGTGGCAATGTGCATTACCACTCAACCAGTTCCAATCTAGTAAAACTCAGTCATAACAATGCTGGTAAGCTCTTATAACCTACCCCCTCTCCACTCTGTATCTCTGATCTTTTCTCTCCTCACTCCATTCCAACCATGTCAGTTTCCTCTCTTGTCCTAACACACTATTTCTATGCCCGGAATGCTATAGGCTTGTTTCTTCACCTTTTCAAGTCCTTCTTCAAATGTCACTCTGTCCCATCATTCTGCTTAAAACTGAAATATTTCCCATTCCACTTTCCTGCTTCTCTTCAGAAAACTATCATCACTTAATATGCTATTAGTTTCTAGAAGTATTTCTTCATCAGAGGCCTTAATCTTTTATCCATTAGGCATAGGCCCTGCTGTTACGATGAACTAAGCAGAATGATCCCTGATCTCATGCAGCACAGAATCTTAGGTCTACTGGTGGGCAGAGAAACATCCAGGAAAGGAAGCTATTCTAATATACTTTTCCCTTTGAACTAAAATTACTTATAAATTTTCCAACTGAAATACCTCAATCTTTTCCTGACTTTTTAAAATAAGTATTAAATTTTCAAACTAAGATTTTTAGCCCAAATATGCCAAATATCTTTGTTTAGCAAGACATGCTTTAACACACAAATCTTCAAAAGTGAATTTGGCTAAAACAAAAGTTATGTATTGTACCCAGTGATTCCAGATGTGGCCTGATTTCCGTTCCATAATGATCCTCTTGAACTTCTTGCAAGCAAAGTACCTTGGAAGAGAACAATGGCTTGAATTAAAACATATAGATGCAAACAGAAATTTTTAGGCACTTTCATCTTTAAAAATAGGTTCTCAAATTCCAAATATGATGAGAGTTGAAGTAAGACCTATAATCCTCTTTACTTATTAATAGATCTATCAAATTAATACTTCCAAATATGATCAATCTCAAAACCCTGGCCTTTAATCTTACTGTCCAATATTAATATTTCCTAAAAGAGTAATTTAAATTTGTAAGTCAAGCTATCTTTCCTGATTTTTTTTTTTCTTTCAGTGGTATTATGGTTTGAAATCAGGACCTCACACTTGCTTGGCAGGCTCTCTACCACTTGAGCCACTCTTTTGCGTGCTGGGTATTTTTGAGATAGGGTCTCAAAAATTTGCCTGGGATGGCTTTGAACCACAATTCTCATCTCTGTCTCCTGAGTGGCTAGGATTACAGGTGTGAATTTACATGTCCATTGGTACTAACCTTTTTTGGGTCCTTTCTTAAGAGACTGATTTCTTTAAGAGTAATAGAGGAGTAGATATGATCAAAATACAATACATGCATGTACTGGAAATATCACAATGAAACCCCTCACTCTGAACAACTAATATATTTCAACAAAAATTAAATAGATTAATTTCTTTTAACCTTATCAATTATAGATGAAATTTTTGCATGAATTATAAACTATCAAAGAAAATATTTAAGTTTCTAGTCCCTGTCTCAAAATGAACTAATACTTAAAGCTTCAGATCTTTTTGAAGTTACTTTATCCCAACAACCATAAGCAAGGAAATCATTTGTTAAGAACTGTTCCATCACTAACTATTCTTTTAAATCTCCCCTTCGTACCCCACAAATGCACAAATAAAATATTTAATCCAACTTTGCATTGTATGAAAAATTTTGGTAGTATTTTACACTTACATCTGCATCAAAGTGTTTAATTTCTTTCAGAATATTGGGAAACCTAAAACTCCAGTGTAATACTGGCCGGCGGCAGTGTCTATAAAGGTGAGAATTATCTTCCAATAAATCTTGTGAAAGTATGTTATAGGACATCACTGAAAAGTCAAACTTGTTCTCACTGTCTTCACATTTGGGGTCAATATTTTTGTCTCCTGGGATGTTCATTTTTTCTTTACTGTGGTTATGTATATATTCCCAATTCCTTTTTATCGTGCCTGTTAAAATATATTGAACAAAACATGAGGAATTAATCAAAAAGAGACATATACTTTTCTATATATAAATACCTTCTTGCTTCTTAAAATTCCCATAGTCCACAAGTAATATGTTTTCCCCTAGGAAATGGCAACATAGTACTGAGTAACTACAAGTTGTCATCAAATTAATTACAAAGGCAGTAAAACTAATACATTAACTGACCAAGGGAACATACAATAGGTTTAAAGGGACCTAGCAAATCATTCTGGAGACTAAGAGTGCATGCTAATAAAGCTGAGCCTATACAGGAGTGTGGTTTCTCACTTCTTTTTGGTTACAAAGTGGTCTCACTACAGACAAACTTAGCAACTTCATAACCCTAATGATATAGTCTATGTCACTGTTGGCTTTTCAATGAGATGATTTCACATTGTATTTTATTCTCTATTAGTAAGATAAGATCATCAAGTGATTAGGTTCCAGAAACAACTCTTAGTTTAGCATTCTGGTTTACACATGAATAAAGATTGCGTAACAGCAGTGTGTGGAAATAGTATTTAGTGTCTGAAATAGTAAAGTGGAATACAAACAAAATGAACATAAGAAATCTTTTTAATGTACACCAAAGCACAAGTTATATGTGACAGTTACAGAATGCCAGCAGATGATAATGGCTGATTAATGAATCTAGCATGCAACAGCCAGGAACATGTCATAGGTTTATATGCTATAAAGACATTACACACTCTGAAAAAGTGATGAATAGAAGATAGAAAAGCATTAGATTCTGCAGTTATAAGTAGTTCTCAACTTAGACATGACCATTGTGTGTGTGTGTATATATACATGTACCTTTGACCTTGTATCTCTTACTTCACCACTAAAGGGGACACTCTTATTGCTATGAAGCCGTGAAGAAGAACACAGAAATTTTATCAACCCACAAGCTCAAAAGGAGAAAATATAATAATGGGAAGAAAATAGATTTGGAGATAAAATGCCAAGTATGAGAAATTATATGAAAACTCTGTCCTAAAATATCTTCTTCTATCCTGCATGAAAATAATCACTTCACTGGAATACAAAACCTAAAATCTTACCAATTAAAAATTAAGGTTAAAATATTCTGTACAGTTACAAATGGTTTTTTTTTTTAAAAAAAGAAAATGCACCAGTTTGTTTGCTTGTTTTTTTGGTGGCACTGGGGTTTGAACTCAGGGTTTCACACTTCCTAGGCAGGCATTCTACCATTTGAGCCACTCCTCCAGTCCACTTGTTTGCACCACTATTTTTTTTAAAAAGTTGTCTGAATTGTAGGATTGTGGAAGATTTTTCCACATCTTCTACAATAATGGCACATTTGCAATTAAATTATCAATATACTATACACAACTACTAATGAAATAATAACTGAGATACCTAAATTAGTTTGATTAGACTGCTTTCCTCAATATTTAAAGATCTGATATCTGCTGCATCGAAGGAACAGAAATCCTGACAAGACAGAAGAAGAAGATAACTTTTATAACTAGTCAGGTCTGGATAGAACAAGGGAGTTGGAGACATGTGATGCCATGAAGGTACAAGGAAAAGTGTAAAGACAAAAAGGTGGAAGGAAACAAAATGAAACTTAACAAAGCTTTCCAACTATTATAGAATTTTGCCTAGTATGTGTCCTATGTGCCCATGAAAGGGAAAGAAACTAACCCCTTCCCACTCCTTCACTGAATATGGAGAATCCTACCTCCATATTAGCTCAGAACGAAAGCTAATCGTACTAATTTCACAGAGCTACATTGAGATTTGCAGACCACCATTTATAAATTGGGGATTGTCTATGACGGTGCTAGCCACAAATCAAAGTCTTTATATATATACAATACAAAGGGCTCTCTAATCATGCAAGAAAATATAAGCTGTCCTTACAAATAAGAGTACTATGCTGATATCACTGCCATATTAAAATATGAAGATAAAGGACTAAAAAACTTGTCCCTGGTTCCTTATAAAACATGTATACAATGGCATTTAATTGTATGTTTAATTTAATTTAATGGCATATAAGATTTTTTAGGGTCCTGGGAATGAGTTTGTAAACAAATTCTTTTTGCAATTCCACTTTTTAAAGAACCAGGACCATTGGATAATCTAGTGAATACAGTGGCTTTCAAATTTCTATAGCTTATAGAAATCTTTGGCATTGCTTTTCATGTCACAGAACACCAATTTCTGGCACATCAGGACTAGAAAAAAGGGGTAAACACACATTTTATCCTACCACATTTGCTTTTAATAAACATGCATAAATGTGTTCAAAAGCTAGGGTTCCATGGAAGACAATTTCAAAATCACTGACAAGAGTGAATAGTCTTTGGCCTTCATATACTTCACAACATAAATTCACACTGCAAAAACTTATATACCTTCCATGTCAGGAGGAACAAGGTGATCACAGCAGAGAAGATAGATGAATCAAAGAAAGGAAGCAAGAGGCCTGATCAGGTTTTTGGGGTGCCTAATTAAAAAGTCATAATTGTGTCACACAAATCCTTCAAATACCACTTTAAAGTGACAGGCAAGTTAGCAATGCTGTTCTCTTGATTGAAAAGTATTAGTGAAATATCAGAAGTCACAAATATGGCTTAACGAAGAGCCTTTTCCTTATTCACAACACCTAGGAAGAATGGACATATAAAGAGTCAGGTTGCAATCATCAATTATCAGTATGCAAATGTAATTCCCCATGTGATAAAGGGAAAACACCACCACCACAATTTTCTGAGTACCTACTATGAAGCCAACAGTGTGGTAGGCACTTTGACACACCTCATTTTTTCCTCAACAGACTTTCAAAGTAGGCATTATTTAATACTAAGAAACCAGGAGCAAAGAGGTTAAGTAACCTTCCAAGTTTATAAAACTAGTGGTGGAGCATAAATGAGAAAAGGGAGTGGTTCTTAAGCCCATGCTTATGTCACTACCTTAGCTGTATCTGAGAGCATACCAGATTTATAAAAGGACAAACAAAACAGCGTGTGCTGGCTGACCTGATGAACGAAAATATATAAATGAAAAACAATGTAAGGACACCATAAAGACCTGAATTTATAGATCATGAATTATTCTTAGGAACTTGACTTTAAAGCCTCTAAATACAGGTTTCATTCCTTCAAACAAGCATTTGTTTATCTCCATATGTTGGGGTTACAAACTACACAAATAGATTTTTACTTCTGAGTGCTTAGAATTTCTATTTATATGTGTTTACTTATTCTAACTAGGTTCTTTGTAACTGTTTAGCAATAAATTATACATTTACTTGAACATTAGTTTAACAACTCTGCCAGGAACCCAGCTGAAAGCCTATAGACTACTTTTAGGCAATACAGGCAGAAGGAACCCAAAAGCATTAACCAATTTATTACTTCTAGCTGACTTCCGGGAGTCTGACTCTCAGTGTCTTCCTTCAGCAAAGTTGTCTGTCAGCTCCCTGCATATTAACACCCACACAATCTATTCTCAAATATCTTCAAAGGAATTATCTTCACTGAAAACTCTAGTGCAATAATTCCCAACTCTAGTTAGATACTTCATTTATGTTTTCTGGAGTTGGAGTGGGGTGTGGGTGTGGGAATGGCTGACAGTATGGAGAGAGCCTCAGGAATTGTTTAGAGTAAAAAGGCTGAGGAAAACAAACATAATCAACAATTAGAAAAAAAACAAATCTCAAAGTTGAGTACTACTTAAAAGAATTCTTTTATATTAGTATTAAAAACGAAAACACAAAATAATTTTTTTCAGATCTGTGACTTCTAAGAATACATTCACCAGTTTCTAAGTTATCAAAGGACTTTTGTTTCAAAAATGCTGGATGTGAAATTACACTTAAACTTAGTGTTTTAATCTATTTCTCCACTCTCTTTCAGCCTTATTCTATCTGTAGAGTCACTTTTACTTTTATAGCCAGAAATACAAAATGAAAATACTTCATTTAAAAAGGATTTATTTTTCCTATCAGAAAACTACTCACTAAAAATAAATACTAAACACCTCTAAAACCTGCAGGAGGTTTTAAGGATTAGATATGAAAGCTTCAACTTAGCTATCATTTATGTCTGTTTCTTCATCAAGACAAATGTCACCTTTACCTTGGTGTTTTCTTCGTTTTGATGAAGGCTCATCTCCCTCAGAATTCATGACGTAACTAGAGAGATGAATGAAGGATGTCTGGCTCAGGTGGTCAGGTCTCCAGTTATAGTACTGATACTGAGTTCTAGACTCAAACAAACAAGGTGGTCTCCACTTTAGAGAAAAATGCCTACTACTGAAGTATGGGTAAGGAGCACGAGAATAATGTCCAGGCCACCTCATACAACTAGAAATGTGTCTGTTCCAGCAACACCTTTGCAGATTCTCCCACGGAGTAGTCCAATCTCTGCCCAGACTCTTCGGGTGATTGGGAAACATGGGGTATCTAAAAAACATAAATACACTCCTTGAGGCACCACTTTTAGTTCAGCTATAGTACACAAAATGTAAATCTGTTTCCTCAAGGCAAGATAGCATCTATCTAAAATCTGATTTCTAAATCTATGAAAGATGGAGGGAAAAGTATCCATGGTGTAACTAACAGCATCAATAACACAATACTCTCTTCCTAAACAATCAAGAGAATGCCACCAATGCTCCCAAAATGCCACAGACTCCTCAAAAAGTCCATAGTCCAGTTGAGAGATTAATCAACCATCAAACTACTATTCAGAGTAGCTTTCTAGCACTAGGAAAAATAAAATCCACATCAAACAACACTTAAATCAGATATGGAACACATATTGCACTACAATTAAAGGGAATCTCTACTGCAACTTGGATTTGGAATAAAAATGTTTCTGAACAGTTTTTTGTTTGTTTGGTGGGACTAGGGCTTCACGATTGCTAAGCAGGTGCTCTATAGCCTGAGCCACACCTCCAGTCCATTTTGCTTTGGTTATTTTGGCGATGGGGTCTTGCCAACTATTTCCTGAGGTTGGCTTCAAACCTCAATCCTCCTGATTCAACCTCCCAAGTAGCTAGGATTCCAGCTGTGAGTCACCGGCATCCAGGCTGAACAGTTTTTGTATCAAGGTTAGATTTCTTTCCAAACATATGTGAAGCTAAGAAAATCAAAACCTATCACAACCTTACAAGACTACTTCTCTTGCTAATCAGGGGGTGGACAATTTATTTTTCCATTCTTTTCTTTTTTAAAGCATGCGTCTCCTTGGGGAAATTAAAGAAGGTAGAGATTATTTACTAAGAATTTACCAACACTCCAAACCCACGGAATCAATTTAACCTATCATTCAAAAGATCTCAAAGTAGTGCTAAATTATTTTTAATAAATAATGCTGCTCTCAGGTTCTCAAAAACACTATGGCTTAAATATCTTCTTACTCTACTATTTTTGCACAATGTTGGGATTCTGAGGACTATCGTCTCCTCTGAAATTCATTTTAAGTGCATTTCTAAGATAATGTCAAGAATGTCTACCACTAATGGAATTTTGTCTAAATTGTATTTACTGTTATTTGACTTTTGTGTTATTTTTCATTTTTAAAACATTTAATTTTTTGCAGTTTATGTAAGTCTCAAACAAAATGTTCTCTAAAACCAACTTAATTATAAATCTTTAAAGACACGACATGGGCACTCCCTATTTGGTGACAACTCTGAAAGCCTCTGAGATTTGGGTACTTGGTCCGTGCATTTTCTATCCTAATAGGTTCACGTACTGAAATGTAATACTTGGAACTACGACACTTATTCTCTGTGTCTGTAATTATTTATGCAGGTATCTTTTTCTCTAAGACGTTGAGCTCCTTCCGGTTCAGAGCCTTCTTTTTAACTAAATTAGTTTATTTTTTCTGGTACTGGGGACTGAAGTAGGGCCATTCCCCGCCCTCTCAGGCAGATTCCCGTCTGTTCACAAGTGCCTAGCACAGTGCCTGGCACACAGCTGGTACTCAGGAAACACTGCTGGGCTGAAATGCCACCGAGCCCAAGTCTCGGGGAGTCAAACCAGATAAATTCCCACGACCTACGGAACACCACAGTGCCGTTTTCCCACGCGTGGAACACCAGTTGGTTTCATGGGTTACACAACTGAACTTTTTCGTTTGCAATATCTAAGTCCGCATTGTAAAGTTTATTAGGGGGAAAAAAATACAACCAATACATCAACCCCAAGATTCCGCGGGCACCACTTCGGCAGCAGGGGCCGTAGAGCTTTTTGATCCCGGGTCAATTTAAAGGAAAACATGCAGTAAACAATACGGACGGAAGGAGAACTTGGCAATGACCACAGAAGTCGATCAAGTGACCAAAAGTTGGAGAGACACTAAACACACCAACAAACGGCCCCCGGGAGGGTGCACGAGCCGCGCGCCTCCCTCCGGGTCAGGCCCGGCGGCCCGGGAAGCACGAGGCCGGCGGGGAAGCGGGCAGCAGAAGCCCGTGGCTTCCCCCGGCCCGCGTAGACGACCGTCCCGCCGGCCGCGCGTCCGGGTTACCTCTCCCTCAGGAACTCCTGGGGCACGTCCCGGCCGCGCCACCGCCCAGACCCTCTTCCTCCTCCTTCCTCCCCCAGTCCGCCCCGCCCCGGGTTCACCTGGGCCGCCCGCCCCTTCCTCCTCCCTCCAGCCGCCCAGCCTTACTGACCGGCCTCTCCCCACCACACAGCGGCCGTAGCCTCTCCTCACACAGCGCCACGCTTCCATCTTCCCGCTTCGCGGGCGTCCAATTCTCAGGCCCGGGAATTCCCTTCAACCACTACAAACTACCTCGGAACCACCGGGACCCCATCACTCCAAGTCCCGGCTCCGGGGCCCGACTGCAAGGCATGCCGGGAGATGCAGTCTCGCTAGCCAAGTCTCCATCTTGCCCAGTGAGAGTCGGTAATTCCTTCACGCGGAATTGCGTCCAAAGGGCATGCGCAGAACCTGTGACGCACGAGTAGCCATTTAGGAATAGGGCAAAATTCCCGGTCTTCGTCTTAAAGAAACAGAAAGGGCAGGCGCTCTGCCGTTACTGTGTGAGAGCTAAAAAGCAAAATATTCTTGTATCGTGTTTTCATAACGTACTTGGGAGTTAAAAGTGGATGCCTAAGCTGAGGGAATACCCTTTTCTGGGTTCCCGGGGAACTATGGTACCACAGATTTCTTTACACCCACTTCTAGGTGTACTTAATGTGTCTTGGGTATCCCTCCCTATCAAATCTGGTATAGGACTGTAGACTCTAGGAAAACATTAAATAGAGAAAGAGGCAGGACACAGGAGGAGTAAGATGGGGAGAAGACAGGCAAAGGATCCTAGAAGGCAGAATCATTCCTTTGATAGGTTCTTTGGCAGAGTAGAGTACTAGTTTCTTGGGAAGGCTTTTGTTTTTGTGTTTTTCTTTCTTCTTGTGCTCATTTCAAAAAATACTTTCCCCTTCACTGTATACCGCAAGTATGCGGTAGTTATGGTCTCGGTCTCGAAAGTTGCCTGGAACACTGAATTAGTTAATATGAACCATTGCTCTTAAAGGAAACATAGGCTAGGTTCCTGTGAACCTCTGATCAATGTGTAATCTTGCTTTATGTGTGTTTCTGTTTAAAAATCCCACATTTAATTCATAGTTAGTTCGACCCAAGCATTGTTTGCACATATGAATAGTAAAACAATAAAAAAAAATAAATTTATGGGAAAAAAATATATAGTTAGTTCATAAACATTGAACTCAGGGTCAAAAACACTATAACCCATACCTAAACAAGGCTTATTAAATCCACACATATTTTGTCTTTACATCACAGTCTTCTTTCACTTAGGAACACTTGGCACTATGTTTGGGGATCATTTTTAACGGGAAAATGAATAAATGTGAGAAAGTGGCAATAAATAGACTGAAACAAGACACTTGCTTATAATATGAGAGCTGAAAAAGAAGACAGTGTGCCTTCTTCAGCTTATCTTGGAACAAGCACTTTGGACAAATGAAATTTTCGCTGCTCGGTGCATGTCTAAGAATAACTGCAAAAGCACTAAGTATTGATTTTGAGGTTGCAGATATATTTTAGTGAGTGGGAAAATTTGCAAATACAGACTCCACAAATAATGAGTATTGACTGTGTTTCTATTTTATACTGCCCTATTTTCTAATTGTGGTCACAATTTTGCATTTTATTAAATTTGACTAATTATGTATTTATTTGTTTCCTATATGTATTGTCTCCACAATGACGTTGTGAGTAACTTGTGAGTAAGGACTATTGTTGTAGGTTCATGTAGTTTCTGACCAGAAGATTCCCAAATTTTTTGCATGGAAGCATCCACAATATAATAAGGGAAGTAATAAAGCTTATTAAAGGTAAGGGGAAGGTATTACAAAAGCAATAGTAGCACCATCTGGCCAGGTGGGATGGAAGCACTTGCTGGAAAAAGGAAAAAGGAAGGGAAGGGATCACAAAAAAAGCAATGGTAGCCCCACCTGGATAGGTAAACCAGGTGGGATCGAAGCAGAAAAGAGAGTGGACTGTTTTGAGGCATTTTAAACCACATAATCTCTGGGGGAAGATTTGGGAGGTTCTGGTGGGTTGGACTAGGTTGATTGACAGTTACTCTGCATACACTTGAAGTATTTTAATCATATGTGTGGGGCATGATCAGTTTTTTTTTGTTATACTAGGGGTACATTTGACATTTACAAAAGTTCGTACAATATATCATGCTTGAATTCACCCCCTCTATCATTCTTTATTCACAAGCCCAATATTTGTTTGTTTTTTTAATCTGAGAGATAATAGAAGGCAGAATCACTCCAAGGCTTCTTGTTTTATAATTTACAACAGCAAAGGATAGCAATTGGGTTGAGATAAGGAGTTTAGCATGAAAGTGACTTGGGGTCTGAAGTATCCCATGGCACCTTTCCCTATTTTTAGCCTGCCTCACTATGACCCATTATTTTCAAATTTTAATGGACCTAGTCTATTTAGGAAAAATCTAACTAGTTTCATTTGCTTTTAGTTGACTTAAAAATCACTAATTTTGGAGGCCACACAGCTAGGTAATACATTATTAGTTTTCCACTAGCTTTGCTGTAGACACCTCTACTATGTGGGTTATGGTAACAGTTGCCTAGGTTTATTCCTCAGGGACTGTGGCAGGAGGGCTCAGACAGAGACAGAGAGGGCACCAAAGCTTTCAGGAAGATAACTCTCATTATCATTTATTATCTCCCTTCCCCCTCCCTGCCTTCCTGCCACATTCCCCCCTTTGATGCTCAGACCCACATCTTAGTCAAAGAGCATCATCTGATCTAGGGGTTTATATTTTCATAGTACCATTACATAAGCAGCTGTCTTTCTTTTTAGAGTGGCTTTCATAATGGTCTTCAAAGACCACAGGACCAGGGGGGATTAGTCAGGTTAATATCAGGCATGTTCCTAAGACAGGGAATGTTGTCTCTATTAAGGTTTTGAACCCACCTAGGATTGAGAACCAGCCCCCAAATAGGTCACTGGGACTCCATCCCTTTCAGGTCTGCACAGGAACATGGGCAAGCTTTTTTATCTTGTTAGTAATCTCTTTAAGTACCTATTCCTCATCATCAATCTGTAAACAGCAGTTACTCAGGTTGGACTTTCACATATTCCACCCTCTGAGGCTAGAAAATTGTAGGGTTTTTGCCTTGTCTGAGGGGGAGCAAGAAGAAACAAGGCCAGATGGTGCCCAGCACACAGGATCCAAACCAGTCATTGGGAAGGATCTTGTTCCAATATGGCCTCATAGGGGCCCACCACTCTATGTCTGTGGTTAGATTATTCCAGGCTGTTGTAAGCTTAGGGAAGGTAGCCAATGGGTGAGGTTGGGGCTCTGTGTGATTGGGAGCCCCCCAACACTGAGTCTCCTGAGTAGCATCATCATAAAACTTTTGTCCCAAACAGATCAAGTCCCCTACCAGGGTGGAGAATTGGCCTTTAGGACGGGAGATACAATAATTCACAATAATAAAGGTTTTTAGGAGCCAAATGGTCTCCTATATTCGTTCCCCCAGAAACATAACACAAAGTTACATTTAGGGTTTATATTATGGAATCAGCTAGTGAGAGGAACAGGTTTTTGGTTTTAAGTAAGATAGGAAACTCACTTTATATCTCCTCATAAAAGGAGTGAAAGCCCTGGTATGAGGAACGCTCATGTCATCCTGAGTGATCATGATGAGTTGAAAATGTAGTAAAATACCAGGGTCTGTTTCATTTTCATAGATTAAAATGTCAAACTTTTTCCCAACTTCCCAACCTGTTTCATTGAGATTGAAAATAGTGAAATTTATAGGGTTATAGGCACCAAAAGTGCAGTAGGGTTGTTTCCTTTTTGTAAAAGAGTGGCAGTTCCATGTGAGGTATGGACCTCTCCTTTTAGCCAAGTTGTGCACCTTTTATAACCCCAATAAGAGCAATAGAGTTGTTTATAGTATGCACAACTGGATGTCCCATTGTCATCTTCTGGGCATATATACTTGTCATTTAACCTATAGGTCCTTTTCTAGGCTAGCCCCCCACCGTTGCCCTAAGGCCTGGTGTTTTCAACTATTGTGGCACACACATTAAAGTATATGGACACAGGTTTGTTGGGGTCATTAACCTGGGCGCAGTTAATGAGCTTCCCACTGCTGGTGGATATTTGGACCTCTAGTCATTGATACTAAGGGCAATAGATGTGGTTAAAACAGACCCAATAGACACAGGTATCCTGAATCAAGGAATGATTTCCTTTAATAGGCACCTGGCACTTCTTGGGCTTTTGCAGTCAAGTGGGGAAGAATATCTTGAGATGGTGCCGACAAACACCAGCAAATATTTATAGCTTGGTCCTTGTTAGGGATTGTTTCTGGCACACAGACTGTACCTTTTACATACTGTCTTACTTATGTTGGAGAGATTGAGGGCATAGAAATGCTGGGCCAAGGTCGTCTCGAGAGTTGTCTGCCTTGAGTGAGTTCCTTCTTGGAACGGCTTGACAAATGTGAGAGCCAGTGACTCAGGTATGGCAGTGCAGCCATCAGTAAACTTCCTCCATCTGTCCAGTAGAGAATTTCCTCCTGTAGTCTCAAACCAAGCCTGTTCTTGTGAAGTATACCATGGGTCCCATTCAGATAATGGTCTTGAGAACAAGGCAGCTGTCAGTGAGGCTGAAGTTTGTCCTCCTTGAGGGCTGCTCACTTGGCTTCCCTATCAGCCTTTTGATTTCCCCAAACAACTGTTGTCTACTCCTCCTGGTGCCCTTGGCAGTGCATGACCACTACTAACTTAGGGGCCCATACAGCTTTTAGTAATTTTAGAATTTTTTTGTCCATATTTAACATTCTCTCCTGAGTTAGAGGTCTCAACTGGCAGTAGTCATGCTTCAGTGACAGTGTCACTACTGTGTATCTGGCAAAACATGTGTCATCCCAGACAAACCTGCTGCCATCTGTGAACTCTTCAACATCCAGATGACTAATGGACTAGTCAGTCAAGTCTGTCCGGCTGCAGAACACTTCATCCATAACCTCTAAACAGTCATGCTCCAGGGGGCCTGAATAATAGCATGGCTGGGTTTAGAGACTTAACAATTTCTATCCAGACATGTGGGTTTTCATACAACATGCTTTGATATTTGACCATTCAGGAATTTGTTAACCAATAATTATTTATATTTTATGCATGTCAAAACAGAGTGGGGAACTCAGACTGTGAGTTTTGTCCCAAAGTAAGTTTGTCTGCTTCAGCCACCAAGACGGCAGTGGCTGCCAGGGTGCACAGGCAGGGTGGCCAGC